CTGCCAGGTCTGGGACTTGAACCGTGATCAGCCATGTGGGAGTCCAGCGCCTTTAACCACCACGCCACCTGCCAGCCCCACTAACCTGTTTATAAATGAAGAGAAAGCTCAATGCCACTTGGAGGCTAGTGAGGACGAACATTAATCTTATTTCTCGTCGCAGTTCATGGACCCCTCCTGGGCTACGAACCCCTGACCCTGTGCCCTGCTCTCTGTGCTGCCTCCTCGAGGGCCGATGGAGAGGACAGAGCTGATGCGACCCGGAGGCTGGGCGCCCCCATCCTGGGAGAGGAGGCGGAGCACTGCGGGTCCCGCCCCGACTCACATGTAAGCCTTGTAGTTGCTGCCGATCTTCTGGACCCGGATGTCGTACTTGGCGTCGATGAAAGGCTCCGCCGTGGCGTAGGTCTGGGTGAGGGCCACCACGCTGGCGAGGTCCTGGAAGTCGTAGTGGTTCTCCACTTTGACCTGATGGCGGAGCAGGGCAGAAAGGGAAAAAGGAGGACTCATACCCGCCTGCAAGGAGCAGTCCCTGGGCCCTGAGCTTCAGATCTGTCCCGACGTGTCCAGTCTAGACACAGACCCCACGCCACACCTCCCAGGAGGCCCTCCTCTCTAGCTTCCCTCCCCAGGCCTTGGGAACCGCTTGCTGCAGAGGACCGGAGGGCCTGAGCCAGGGGCCGGCGCGCTCCCCGTAGGGAGAGGCCTGGCCGGGTAACACCCATGGCTTCAGAGGGGCCGAATCACCATCTGCTCGAAAGGAAGTCCTCAGGGTCAGGGGAAGAGCAGCCCGCAGACGGGTTCCCTGAAGCGTGCCCTCCTGGCTCGCCCCAGGGCACAGCAGCTTCAGGGCCTTACCTTGCCCATGCCCGAGTGAGCGTGGCCGATCTTCACCACCACGGGGAAGGTGGGCAGGGCCAGCTGGAAGCAGAGAAAAGGGTCAGCGTGAGACGGTCTCCGCGGGATCCTATAAGTACTTTTCTCGGAACACCCTTGGAGGGTCCTTGAAAGAACTTGTTCAACTTACTTGCTTTACACATTTAAAAACAGAGGGAACAGCAGTTAGCGTAACGGCTATGTCGCTGGACTCCCATGTAGCCAACTGTGGTTTGAGTCCCGGACCCAGTGGTTTAGACTCACTCCGGGCTTGTGGGCCTGTGTGCCCAAGATCCCGAGAGGAGAATGGAGGAGAAGGGATTGCGGCATGGCCATCCCCCC